TTGAGGAACCTGCTTCAACTAAAGATGATGTATGGCTGTTTGATCGGTTAATGATCTTTGCTCTTATTAGTAAATAAACTGATCGTTCAAGTTTTTGTTAATTTCTTGTGGATCCTTTGAGGATGTATTTGAGCCTATACATCTACTAGTAGTCTTTTTCAGAAATATCGTTTTTGTGCATTGTTTCTGTTTCCAGATAATTATTCCACATGGGGAACCTGTTACCACTGAAACTTTTCTTGCTTGGAGAGAGCGATTTGAAGCAGAACTAGCACTAGAGCGAGCCAAGTAAGAATTGAACTTTTTCAGGAAATATTGGAGCTGAAGTTTTCATTCTACCTATGATGTGACATCTTCAGTTGATAAAAAATAAAGAATGTCTTTGTTGAGTTATTAAATTTAGATGACAATTTAAAGGATACCGAACAATCCATTGCATTCTTTTATGAACACAAATTTAAATTCTATTAGGAGTATGCTTGGCTTTATTATTTACATGTTATCTTGGATCGCTTGTACCGGTTCGATTTTCTTATTTTCTCTATAACTTCGTTTGAGACAGTTTTTTTGTTACTTCATAAAACTGCTTTTTAATATAAAAATTTCTAATTCAAAAATTTTTTTGTACTAGAAAGCCGTTTTAGAAAGCAGCAAAGAAGCTGTCCCAAACGAAGCCTATATGTTGCATTTTCCTCGTGTATAGAAGTTTTTATGAGCAACACATTTATTTCACTTGGAGACATCGAAGTTGAATTTATGCAACTATGTGCAGACTAATGCCAGAATCAGCTTTAACCGCACCGAAGGATAAAAGGCTGACAGGAAGACAATGGTTTGAGAGTGGAAGAGCTGCAGCGGTAATATTTTGTTTTGTTCCTCACCACATTGTGATAAGTTTAGGCTTTGCTCTCTGCTTCTCTACCTGCTCAACCATTATATTATATTTCTGATTAGGGGTGTCAATATTTGACACGACCCGAAAATCTGACTCGAAACCAACCCAAAAATTTTGGGTTAGGGTCAACCCGAACCCGAAACTGGTCGGGTTTGGGTTCAACAATTCGACCCGTTTAAAAAATCGGGTCTGATTCCGTTTTGACCTGTTAACCCGAGATTGACCCGTTTTTACCCAAAAAGCGGTGATTGACCTATTTTTAGACCCGAAAATTAGCAGTTTTTTGTTGGCACATGGTCATTCGGGTTGTGTCGGGCCACATCGGGTTGACCCGGACCCGAAGCGAGTCAGCTTCTGGTCCGGAAAATTGACCCGTTTGCAAAAAACGGGTTGGGTTCGGGTTGACCCGAATAGTGCCAGGTCAGTTTCGGGTTCTACCCGAATCCGACCCATGACCCGAAATTGACACCCTTTTTCCTGATTATTTCTATTGGTGTAACTTTTTTATTTTTCATGTTTAGCCACCTGCAGTGCACTTTAACATGATATAATAAAACTTTAACTCTGGCATCTCATTTGTGAACCTTCTGTTTGCTCTACAGAAAGGTCCAACTACAGTTTCCGAGGATTCCGAGGAAGAGGAAGAAATTGACTTTGATGATGACTTTGAAGGTCCGGCCTTACATATTTTGCAAATTAATCTCTCGTTTGCATATTATGTTTCATCTACTAGAATTCTGAAGTAGCAAGATGAAATTTTTCATGATTGTGCAGACGATGATGATGAAATGCTTGAGCATTATTTGGCACAAAAGTCTGAGAAATCAGCAGAGGGATCCAAAAACTGAAAGTAAGGCCGAGGCATTCCATTTGTTGGGCCTTCGCCTACTCTTTTGAGGGTAAGTGGTGCAACACAGGTCCTAAGTCATTTTCTCTCTGCATTCAATCATCCTTTTTACATAGGATGTGTTTGTGCTGAAAATTACAGAATGATGAGCCCTAAGAAATATTACAGAAAGCATTACCTTTTAGCTTATTATTTTTTCGGATGCATTGTAGAAGATGAGAAGAACAGAGAATCTGAGCAATACATTATAGTATTTCCTTTTGGCACCAGTAATACTGTGCATTCTATGTTCTTCTTGATAGCTTGATTTCAGTCTGTAAATCAACAGCTTGTTTATGCTCTTGAAGAGTGCTTGTTCTTCGTTTTTCAAATTTCATCTCAAAATATTGAGCATTATATATATATATATATATATTACGATTTTTGTATTGTCAAAGAATGACCCATAACATAAGTTGCAAGCTATGATGCACTGACACACCTCTTGAAGAGATAATATAGTGTCAGATGACACGTGCCTGACACGGCTGATTAAAATAATGTTTAAATTTAACCTCACACGATTGGGACACATGTTGGACACGGTTGGGATATGCACATCCTAATTTTTTATGATAAAATTATTTTAAATTATAAATTTTTTATATTTTTATATTTACTAAATCAAATAAAACATCACATTCGTTCGTATATGCATTAATACGATTATATAAAGGCATGATTATTAGAGAAAACCGAGGTGTTATCACTTTGTTTGTGGAGTTGACAAATAAGTTCCTCACAAAATTAACGAGTGCTCATAAGCCTTAGAAGAGCTTGTGATCCTTCCTCAAGATGCGCTAATAACTGCGTGAGTCGCTCCATAGCTTCATTTAGAAATTTCTATGGGACATGCTTGAATAAAAGACCTAAGGCCAATTGTCACTTAGGTTGCTCTAACCCACAAATTAATAGATTTTACATTTTATTATGTATTGGGGTTGCAACAACTAAAGATGTTGGCTAAGTTGTTCAAACTTGTCAACAACCCGTGTTAATGTTGGTTACAACTGAGTGGTTGAACCCTCCTTGTCCACTTGCTCTAGAGGTCTTATTATCATAAATGATCACTCCCATTGTTGGGAATGTGAGAGAAGTAGACCAAGGGTCCACAAAGTTGACGCAAGACCACTTGTAATGCATGATTCATGTCATCAATACCACTAAAAGGAGTTCTAATACCTTCACGGACTCATCGAGGGCTTCATTAAAGTAAAAAAATTGAAAGAGTTTATGCTAGCTTGCTCGATCCACATTATAGGAGTTGTGCTAATGAGGCAGAAAGTGAGTTGATTCCTCTATAACAACTAGCTCTAAAAGCCTAAAAATAGGTGAGGCTGGCTTAACTACTACATCATGGGCACCGATAGCCAATGCCACTCTAGTTACCTTTTATGAGATCCCTTTAATGATGCCATGATTATCTATACATAGATTGTTAACTACTAAACTGATAGTATTCTTATTGATACATTAAATTGTGTAAATAATATAAATATATTAAAAAAAATGGATATTTTGCCTTTCAGCATCTCCCCACTCTAGGTTCTCTTACGACTTCTTTGTTGAGAATAGGGACACTAAAGGTGCTATCGCCCTCACCTTCACTTGGGGCAAGGGCAATCATCCATACACCGTCCACACAATAGAAGACGACTATCCTTGAGGTGGTTTTACATATGGAGGTCGAGTGAGGACTAGGGTTGAAGGTAACTGAGGCAGTAGAAGAAGTGTAAGTTAAAGAAGGCGACCCATAGAGGATATTAAGGATAAACTCGTCTTTCAATCCAAAGTATCGAGGCGAGCTCACCAAAGCTCTCAAGGATGACTTGGACATCTTTGCAGTTGGCATGGATATAAATGAAAATTTCAAAATTTGACTTAAAGATTTAAGGTGGTTAAAACATTTGAAATTTATTTCAAAGATGATTAAAGTACAACAACAACAGTTTAGATGAATTACATCAAAATTTTGTTAAGACGAATTAATATTCTAATACCAATTAATTATTTAATTATTATTTATAATGTTATATAGTAATTATTTCTATTTGAAATTATATTTAATCCTACTACTAATTTTGAAATAATTAAGTATAATAATCCTAATAATAATTTTATTTGTTTGGGTTAATTATTAATATAAAATTTCATATAAAATTCAATTATCAAATATATCATTATTATATTTCATTTTTATTATCCATACTATCCTATAAATTTTAATATTTTATTTAATATACTCATATTTATTTTAGGATGGTACATATGTAATATTAAAATTTTAAAAATTAGATATGTAAATAGCATAAACTAAAATGATATGTATGTAAAACCCCTGTTTTAAATTATATTAATTAACAAAAATAATTTAGAGGCCTTCTCGATTCGTCGTTGCAGTTGCTGGTCGGCTTCGCTGCTTCGCATGAGTGTAGAATTTTGCTAGTCTGTTCTCGGCTCCTTCGTAGCTGTTCGACTTTGCTCCTTCGCCGACGTTCCCTTCCTGTTGGATCGGGAGTTAAGACATTTTGATCGGAAGCAACGACGGGAGCTCGCTCGCTGTGAAGGTATCTTTCTCCCTTTCGCGCGCTTCTTCGGCCACATCCCGTACATACGCCGAAAGGAAGGATTTGGTAAATCTGGGATTTACAACGAAATTGAGTATTTTTCCGTCAACTGCGGCTTCCATTTACTGTGAGATTTGATTTTGCGTTTTTAGCCGTTTGGTGGGATTTAGCTCAAATCCGCCTCAAATTCGGCCTAAATCCTGCATCCAAACAGCCTCTAAAGTTTTATTCTAGATCTTTGAAATTTAAACCAGAGAGATCTGTAAAACTGCGAACTCCTTACGTCCCTGGTTTCGATATACCGATTGATACGAAGACGAGCAAGTCGTGATGCTCCGATTGAGGGCATTCCGGCCGTCTGGCGACAAGATCGTTAAGATTCAGGTCCACCCTACCCATCCTTGGCTCGTGACTGCGGATGACTCTGATCACGTTTCCGTATGGAATTGGGAGCATAGGCAGGTCTGAATCTCCAGAGATCTCTCGAAAGTTTTGGCGATGCTATTCTGTGTTTACATTTGTTGATTCGGTTCCTTGTTCTTGTTGCCGTTTGTTCCAGGTGATTTATGAGCTGAAAGCTGGCGGGGTGGATGAAAGGCGTTTGGTTGGCGTGAAACTGGAGAAGCTCGCTGAGGGAGAGTCCGGTATGTCGCTGAGTAGTTTTGGTAGTGTGATTTAGGCATATTATCGTATTTTCTTTGGAAACTGATTGTTGAAGATTGCAAGTATAGGTTTTATGCAAAACTTTTTCATAAAGACTCCAGTTCAATTTTGGTTGTTTTAAGGTAATTGCTCTGATTAATTATTTTAAAGGAAGAAACGCATCAGTGGAACATGATTAGTTGATTATCTACATGGAGAAAAAAATGTTCAATACTCCAATTACCAACTGCATGAATAGAAGCTGTCTTAAGTGCTTTATTCTGTGTCAGTAAAGTCAGTCATGGCTATTGCATGTATGATGTCCTTATATCTTAGGGTGGACAAATGCGTCAAAAGAAAGTCTGAGTGCCTGCATGACTTTGGCATATGGATTTCAACTTTTGGTACATTTAGGCTTATGTGGTTGTTTGTTCATTTTGGGGGATTTCTTTAATATACATGATTGCAATAGAATTTAAATGAATAAATTTCATATTATACTTATCTAAATAATGTTTTCTTAAATCTTATTGGATGAGAGCCACGCCTAGTTCCCTTTTGGTTTTGTCATTTGATGATGCAATACAAATAGTGTTTATATATTTGTAAAATCACTTATTATCATTGTCTATAGTGTTTGTTATATTTACACTTGCTCTTTGACATTTCTCTTGGTTTGTTCCTGTTTTTTGCTTCTCTTAAGTTGCTGCTGTTTGTAAATGCTCTTATAATGTTGTGTTTATTGTCCGCAGAGCCTAGAGGAAAACCCACAGAAGCTATTCGGGGAGGGAGGTACTGATTGAGTTTTGTCACATGACCTTTATTAAGGTAGTATTCTTGTTATATTCTTAAAATTGCATATTAAAGTTGGTTCTTCTTGGTATTTTAGTGTAAAGCAGGTGAGCTTTTACGATGATGATGTGAGATTTTGGCAACATTGGAGAAATCGATCTGCTGTTGTTGAGGGTCCATCTGCAATTAGTCAAAACTCCCCTGCTTTTAATTCTCCCACCCCAAGCACTCGAGGAAGGCATTTTCTTGTCATATGTTGTGAAAATAAAGCTATATTTTTGGATTTGGTGACCATGCGTGGGCGGGATGTTCCAAAGCAAGAACTTGACAACAAATCTCTTCTTTGGTATTTCTTTATCTCTTCTAAATGTATAAATATTTGTGTTCCTCATAGATAACCAATTTAAATAATTTTGAAGTGGCATATCATAAATTTTTTGGTGAACTGAAGTGAAAACTGCAAGCTTTGTTCTCACTGTTATAGTTAATTATATCATTGAAAAAGAAATTATAGTTGGACTTTTGATGGATTTGACATTCTATCAGAATGCATTACATTGGTTATATAATTGATTTTGTATGACTTGAAGATTTAATCTTAGTGCATTAATGTAGTTTGTATCACGTGTCACCTTATAATAGGTGTGCTGGACACAGATGTATTGGTTCAAAGCCAGGACCAAAGGTTTGTCCAATCCTTTCTTGGAAAAATTAATTGTTTGTCCAATTTCTATAAAGTAAAGCAATAGGCTTAAAATGGAAAAAATGTTTTACTTGAAATGGAATTAAGGTTTACCTGGTATAATTTGTTGTAGTACTTTTTCGATTTGTTAGTGGATTTTGCTTTAGGGAAGAAGGCACATGGTTTTGAAGGTGAGCGGTGAGCTTCTAGTTTGTTGAAGGTAGAGCTTAGTTTTGGCTTTCTCAGTAGAGAGAGAAACTACTCTCATCAGAGAGTTGAAATGGAGATCAGGTGAGGAATGAATAGGTTTTTGATTGAGTAAACAGATTGATAGCTTAATGCTCTATGTTTTCTGGGAGAAAAGTCTGTGTGTTTGGATTTATGGCTTTTGATGTCTGTTGGGATAAAGGGTGGCTTGCAGGCTTCTAGTATTCTTTGGAGGTCCTAAGTTTGAGTCATGGAATCAGCCTTTTCTTAGACCTTTAATTAATAGGAGCTCCATCCACTGGGTACTCTTTAGAGTCTTGATGGGATGCTTAGCTTGTAGAATGACAAAATTTTCTTGCTTGATTGCTGAAGTAGTGAGATGCACTGAAGATATAATATATGGATGTACAATGTATGCATCTATATAGAAAAATATCCGTTTGGTGTGGATGTCAAGGTTTGATTGGATTAGCTGGTTTAGCCTGGGACCTTCCTTCTTTGTGGTTTACTAGATTTATGAATCATGTCTTTTGCCTTTGCTTAGTTATTTTTCATACTTGAAGAACCTTTTCCATGATGTATTTATTAGTGCCATGAGCATATCACGGTTTTTTTATTTTGTGTGGTATTAACTGTAGAGTGTAGGCTAAGGTAAAGGTTGAAGAGTGAGCTTGTTTTTTATATATTTTTTAATTTTTATCTGTAAATTGTATTAAGCGTTATCCATTAATTACGATCTTCACTGCTGATTTTAGTGCTCATCACAATTGTTGAAACATTACTTAATTTACATTGAGAAGAAACCTATAGTCTTTAAGATATATATATATATATATATAGGCTTGAAGTGGCACTTATGTGGTGTGAGTAGATTATCAAATTAAGGCTTGAAAATGTTGTATTTAATGGTTTTGGATGGTCATCTAACAGACTTGGAAAAACTGATTCTTAGATGCAAACTTATGTGAGAGTGATGTTATTTCATAGAAAAAAAGTGATGTGCCCAATGCAACTTCTGTTGACCTAAGCATCAACATATTTCATATTTAATTGTATGTTTTTTTTCTCAACTTCTTAAAGCTCATTTAGTTGCTTGAAGTTTAAAAACATGTTCTAAAAAAATATTGAATTTACTTGATTCCATTATTTAGTCTTGGCTTTAATCTCTGCCAGCACCGTCAAATGCCCGCTGATCTGAGGCTTTTACGGTTACCCACAAAACAAATTGAAATTAAATCATTACTTTTTAAAACATGTTTTCTCTCTACTTGGTAGTAAGCTCATCAGGTTCCTTTTGCATGGTGTTTCAAGTAGTATCTCTCTGAATAAGCCCTGTCATTGCAGCATGGAATTTCTCTCCAGATCTGCTGCAGGTGATATCCCGCTTGTTGCCTTTGGAGCATCTGATGGTGTAATTAGAGTTCTTTCAATGATAACATGGAAGGTTAAGACAACTTGTCTTTTTGAACAACTTCATGTTAAAAATCACTCAATCCCACGAAATATTTGTTTGTGATAAAGGAATTGCTTATTTCAGCTTGTTCGGAGGTATACGGGTGGTCATAAAGGATCAATATCATGTCTGATGACATTTATGGCATCTTCTGGAGAGGTACTACTTCAACGTGATATGCCACTGGAAACCTGACATTGATTACTTTTTATCTGACTTCTATTAATTAATAACCATTGCTTTTATGCTTTTAATATTTCTGTTAATATGATGATTGTCTTTCTCGAGACATTAATCAGAAAGAAGTAGAAATCACATTGTTATTTAAGGCTGCATTAGTGAGGAACAAACTCGTTTCACACTCGCCAATGCTCTAGATGTTATTTTGTTCTTGATAACCTATGAATGTTTTTATTGAACAGCATGGAGTTTTGTCTAATGGGATCTGACTAAGATATACAGCCCACTATTATTTTGGTCATTAATATGAAATATTGTATGAAATGTGTTCGTTGCCAAATAGTTTTTGAAACAATAGCTAAAACCTTCTTTGTTAAGCTGCTCAAAGACTTGCATCTGAATTCAGAACTTGTGCGAATATAAGCATACATTATTTTTTGGAAAATTTCGAAGTTCTAACAACCGCTCTTTATGGCATATGAGATTATTATTGAAAAAAGCATTCTATTCTCGATGCACGGAAAATGAATTTGATCCTATGAACTTTGTCTGCAATTTACTTCAACCATACATGTGCTCTCTTATTTGTTAGTGGGTTTGCAGAATGAGAATACTCAATAGTTTCCGTGAAGGCCTAATGAATGATCATTGAAGATACATATCCTTCCTTAGGGCATCTCCAACCGAAATTCTCAATTTTCACTGCAAAATGCAGTAAAATCAAAAAGTGCCGTGATTCATCTCCAGTGGAACGCCATTTTGCCCCCAAATCATCGCTCGTTTCTTTCGCGCCTTTCTCAGACGAGTTCGGTAGAGAGAAAGAAATGGCGCAAGTGAACAGTGCGACGCCAATATTGGCATTGCACTGTTCAACTGCTATCAAATGGCGGAAGAAATGACGTTCGGTTGCGACGTTTAAGGGCCTCCATTCGGCTGTTTGCCGAACGGTTGGAGATGGTCTTATAGATGCAACTATGCTGGAACCTTCAGAATATGCAATTTAAAGGCTCGCATAATCTGACACTGAGAACTGCTGACAATCTTTAACAAGATTTTTCAGTATTCTTTTCTGGAAATATTCTAAATTCTCCACTCTGCTCTTTATGTTATGGAGATTATTATTTGATAAACATGGCATTCTGGTTAACAAGGAAAAGATGTTAGCAATATTAACTGATTTTTTTTCAGTCACCCTTTTCTACAATTTTCCACTAGTGTATCTGTGCTGGATTATTTGGTTCGTAGATTCGCATGTACGAGTATGGTGAAACTTAGTTTTCTTAATTTTTTTGAACTATTTACTAAATCCCCAGGGAAGGTTGTTAGACCGGTCCAGCCGGTCCATCCTGGACCGGCTCAATTCTATCGGAGGCGGGACATGTTCCACTCCTGTGAGTTCCATCCCTCCTGCAGGCAGTTTTTAGGAAGGTTTTAATGTGGTTTAGGAGGAAAAATTCAAAGGAGAGGCTGCTTAGGGATTTCCTTTTGAAATTTATGCTTTAAGGAGGAAAATTTTCTAGGGTTAGGATATCTCTTGTTTGCTTAAATTTGAGTGTTTTTAGGGTGTTTGGGCTCTAGTCAACGGTTAGAGATTTGGGAGAGCCGGATCCTCCTCTCTAATTGAGAATCTTATTGTATCTTGCTTTTCTTTGCATAATCTTTCAATAAATTTTTTTTGGGGGTGCTCTTCTTCTCAATTTTTCATATGCTGAATTTTATGAAAAGAGTCTCTATTTCCTATCAAAGGCCTAATGAATGATGATTTTTGATGCATATCCTTACTTTTTGCATCAACTATGATCGCATGTTTCCTGGGAGAAAAATAAATAAAGAGAAAAAATGCATACACCTTGGGGTGCTATGCCCTCAAAATACGTGCAGTGGTGCTGCCTTTTGAAAGTACATTTACAATACATGTTCCAATGCCTTGCTTTGTAATGAGTAATTACGGACTAAATAAAAGGAATCAGAAGTCAGCATTGTTCTTTTTCCTGATATCTGCCTGCATTTTACTGTATGTGTTGGGATATGGTATGAAAGTATGGTACTAATTGGCACTTGAAAGTATCTTTTACTCTTTCCTAAGCCTAACTTATAAAGAGTTAAGTTTCTTGTCAAGTGGTGCTGGCAATTTCGTGCGTTTTCTCAGCAGCATGAGTGCCGCATTATACCATTTTTTGTTTATGTAAGATAAAATATTAAAACAATCCTAAAGATCCAAAGCTAAGCTGCTCCGCCTTAAGAACTTTTTTGGTTGCTGTCCTATGTTCCTTTCAAAAGATGCGTTTTTTTCATACTTTGTTCAACTATGGTTAACATAGTCTCTTAGTTTTTCGAGGCGATTTTCTAACAGCTACTGTTGGTTTGAACATCCAGGCACTCTTGGTTTCTGGGGCCAGTGATGGTTTACTTATAATATGGAGCGCAGATCATATTCATGATTCACGTGAACTTGTGCCAAAACTCAGCTTAAAGGTGTTGTCATAACTTTTCCATTTTGTTGTTAATTTTGCGAAAGCATTTTGAATAAATGGTAAAGTTCATGCTGTAATCACAGGAAAATTGTGGTCTTGTAAGTTAAAAGGCTTCCTTGTCTACAATTTACCTTTGTATTGAGGTATTTCAGAATATAAACTATATTTTTTCTTAAAGTTGTCTTAACTTTCATAATGCTTCTTCAAGGCACATGATGGTGGAGTTGGGGCTGTTGAACTTTCAAGGGTAATGGGAAGTGGACCACAGCTCATAACAATAGGTGCAGATAAAACCTTGGCAATTTGGGATACTATCTCATTTAAGGTAGTACATCTTCTCTTTCTAATTTAGATTACCAAGTCTTATACTTGCTATTTTGATCTCATTCTTGGTTTCTCCTACATAGGAACTGAGAAGGATAAAACCTGTTCCAAAACTTGCTTGCCATAGTGTTGCTTCTTGGTGCCACCCTCGGGCACCAAACCTAGATATCCTTACATGTGTCAAGGATTCTCACATTTGGTAAAAATTGCGTGGTCAAATATCTGCTAGCATGCAGCACAGTTATAATATGCCTTATTTTATTTTTAATTTTTGTTCTTGTTATAAATTTTCCATCCTTTTGTCTTTGCAACAGGGCTATTGAACATCCAACATATTCAGCTTTGACTAGGCCACTATGTGAATTATCGTCGCTTATTCCTCCTCAAGTGCTCACAACAACTAAGAAACTCAGGGTATGATTGTGGGATTTTATATAGTAATTATTTTTCTCATGAGTTTAAACAATAATAATGAAACTTTAATTTGAAATGCAAAGTTTGTTTCTCTCTGGAAGTCTGTTGCTCAAGTTAACAGTACAATTGACTTACAGTGATAGAAGATTGTGTGTGAGTTTGAAAGTGCTATTGGCTAGTGCTATATGAATTTACATTTTTGGTAATGAATTTCATTGAAGGAGGATTTGATGCGTCTTGGAAGTAAAAATAGTTAGAGAACAAGTAGAAAACTGTAGGAACATGAAGATAGGGACTGATTTTTGATTATTTCTTCAACAAGAAAGAAAGATGCCAGTGATCTACTATTTGATAGGTAAATAGGCTCTCCACAAACCCTAGATGCCGCTAAAAAACTCACAAGAAAGAAACTACAACAGAAAAACAATTTGTATATCCTGAAAATAATACATAGTTAGCCTTAAATAGGCTCCTCTACTTCCCTCCCTAATCAACCTTATTTCCTTGATTTATTCCCTCTCAATTTTGAACTCTTTCCCTTAATAATTCTCTCCCAATTATCATAAAAACCTTCCTAATTATCTCGGCATGCACGTAGATGAATATTCCTTTCACGTAACAACACTCGCCCTCCAATGACGCACCTTGTCCTCAAGGTGGAAGGATGAGAGTTGTCTCGTATGGATCCCATGTAGCATTGTGCTTTGACAAATTCTTCCACTTGATTAATACTTTTTGTGCACCTTTTTCTCCTCCGCGCACACCTGCTCCTAGAGGTTCCGAAATGACCTCCATGTCTTATGTGAAAGTCGGGGGTAGTGAAGATGGTGTGTGATATCCTATCGCCTTCCTCAACTTTGAGACATGAAAGACTGGGTGTAATGCTGATGAAGGTGGTAGCTTCAATCGGTAGGCCACTGGTCCAATGTGTTCTAAAACCTCATAAGGCCCAAAGTATCTTGGGGACAATTTTTCATTTCTCCTCATGGCTAGTGTCTTCTGCCTATAGGGCCTTAGCTTTAAGCAAACCATTTCTCTTGGTTTGAAGTGTATTTCTCTCTTGTGCTCATCAACCTTCCTTTTCATGATTTGTTAGGTTCTCAACAGATGTCCCTTGAGCTCATATAATATTTTGTCCCTTTCCTCTAAGTACTGATCTACACTGGATACTGTTGTAGGGCTATGCCCATAGTGGATCAAATGAGGTAGATCTCTTCCATAGAGAATCTTGAAAATGACAGTCTGTGCTGTTGAATGATATGAGGTGTTGTATTAGTATTCTGCTCTACCAATAAATTAATTAATCATGATTAATTAATGATGCAACCAAATTTTATAGGAAGCTAAGGTTGCAAACAAAGATGTATGTCTCCCTTTCGAAATGACAAAAACAACACCACAATATAGCATAATAAAACACCACCTAATAGGACAGAACAAAGTTTCTAACATTTCTTAGAAGCCATCTCAAATTTCATTAAGACAAGACAAGGTGCAACTACCTTGCAACTTACAATTTAACACAAGCATTTTAAGAGAAGAAAGATACAAATGAGGCGGAAACCATGGTTATAAAAATTAAATAAGAAGACTGAGACGAAGCTTTAGAGGAGAAGGGGAAGGAGACTAGCTCGCAAGCTAGTAAAAAAATCCCTCAGGTTTTCTTTCAAAAAATCATCTCCAAAACTCCCTTAAACATCCCAAAACTCTCCTATAAATAGAGGAAAAAAGGAAGCCCAAAAGACACCAAACAGCCGCCGAAAACAACCAACCAAAAGGGGAGAAAAAATCCAACCCAATAGCCAAACCAAAGACAGGAGCACAACCGGCCCTAACAAATCCAACCCAAGCAGCCCAAATAAAAAAAAAGGGGTTGGCTTTGCTTACATCTATTAATTTATTGATACTCTTAATTCATCATTACTTTTCTTAATGATTTTAGTATCATTACACGAATACAGTTGCCATTGGCACAGTGGGACACAACTTTTAGTCTACTATTATCTTTGACAGAAATGTTTAGGGTGATAAATGCACGGTTGCACTAATGCCTCCAACCAATATTATAAGGGAACTTTATCTATCAATATGTGCAAATATATATATATATATATATATATATATACATATGAAGTTTTTTTATTCCATATCGAGGAGTTATGTTTGACAGTTAGAGCAGTACAGAGTATTTGAATTCATAGACATGAAGTTTAGAAAGAATTTGATTTTCTAAGTATAGCCGTGACATTACATTGGAATTATAAATATGAATTAGAAAGTGATTTTAATTTCATAAGTATAACGATGACATGGCATTGGAATCATATAGATAAAATGAATTTGATTTCACAAGTATAGCAATGGCGTGAATTATAAAAAGATCATGAAATTTTATAAAATTTCAAGGCATTGCAACATTAAAGTATAATTCACAATAATGTGAAGAACATTAAACATTCATGACAAATCATATCATAACTTTACTTAAAGAACTTAAACGCCCTTGAATAACCAAGTGCAATATACATACAATTAGTCTAGAGGAAGGAAATGTTACTCCTACTTATATATCGGAGATTACCTGCCTTATAGTAGCTTGGATTCTTAGCCTATGCCTTGGCATTACCTTAGAATTTCCATCTAGAATGGATAAATCCTCAAGCCTAAGTCATCAACCCCAATATTTGTGAAACCCATATCAAGTCATTTCCTTAATAATAATTATTAGAGTATAAACAAAATAATCTTATACCTTGTTAAATCTATAAATCACAAGATTATTCTTGATAAAAGGTTAAACTCTTAACTCAAGTCAAATGTACTTACATAAGTAAATTATTCCTTTTAAGCAATTTAGTTCTATTTCCACTTATTTATCCCATAGTCACACGTCATCATCCTTTTGATTATAGTTTGAAAAAATCATGGGGTTAGTAGTGCTTCTTTCAATGACAACATCATGCATATATAGCTTAGGAGCTCTGCTCAGTGTAATGTGTAAGCCCATTTGCAGGAAGAGAATAGACATAATAGTGAGTATTTATTCTTATAACACTTTGGGAAAAGTTCATCCGTTTTGTGGAGCTGTAAGTTTAGTCTAGCTTCTTTCCTATGCCTAAAACGATTGGTGTGACAGTAACATCGTAATTATGTAGCAGTTTGTTTTAATTGGAGTTATCTTTGGATGCAGAAAAACTAGCATGACTTATTCATGTAAATTAAATCAAATTAAGGTTGGTTCAATATTAAATAAAGAATTAGAGGAGGTGCAAACATAGCTGGATGACTTTTGGTGATATCTCAAGTATAATATAAATTCATAGATTCTTGTTTTTCAAATATATCCTGATATAACATTCCCATGGATTATATTTGGACTTGGCCACTCTCTGAATGGTTTAAAGGAAATGAGATGATTCGTTGACACAACTAATAATATTCTTGAGAAGATCAACATGAATTATAGCACATGGGACACGCATTTACCCCTAACCAATTTTGTTGGTATACTGATAAGTTGAAAAAATTAGTTTTTTTGTTAGGGTTCATTTGTACCTTGACCGGTATTCATGTATGATCTAAGCTGCTCATATTTGGTGTTTGTTTACACGGTTTTTGCTGATTGATAGTAGATTTCTTTGTGCTATATTTTTCTTTCTTGTGCAAATTTTCTTAACACAACTTAAAATTTTCATTAATGTCTTACAGGCTGCATAGCTTTATCCACATTAGTAAGTTTATTGGTTAGTTTTGACTTCATCTCATATTGAACGTAGTTATATTACTTATATGCCTCGCAGGTTTATTGCATGGTTGCTCATCCATTGCAACCACACCTTGTTGCAACTGGAACCAATATTGGAGTTATTCTTTGTGAGCTTGATGCAAGATCTCTTCCAGCTGTTGCTCCTCTACCATCACCTTCAGGAAGTAGAGAACACTCTGCAGTATATATAGTTGAAAGAGAGCTCAAATTACTTAATTTTCAGCTTTCCAACACCGCCAATCCCTCCCTTGGAAGTACAGGCTCCATATCTGAAACAGGGAGATCTAGGGTAGAGTCAACTGAGCCACTTGTTGTTAAGCAGACCAGGAAGCATATCAGCACACCTGCACCTCATGATTCATACTCAATTCTGTCTGTAAGCAGTTCTGGAAAGTTAGTCACTTGCCATGAATCCAATCTGCTTACTCTAGAATATGATAACTTTAATTATTATGCACTTCTAATCTCTCCAATTTTGCAAAGTAAATCGTTATGTCTCTCGCTGTCTTCATTATAGTATGCTGTACAAAATATACTGTTTAAGTTCATTTGCATCCACTTTTCTTAATGACTATGAATGGTATCCTTACGCTATTCATGATATATCTAAACTTTACCAGACATGTGGAACAATTGGAAATCAGAGTCTTATTAAAATGCAGGTTTCCTGAGTTAATCTTAAAAACAACTCTGATATCAAATAACTTATCAGGAGCGTACTATTCTTTTCCAGACATGTGTCCTTAGGCATGAAGGTTGAAGTGCAGTTTTTTTTTTTTCCTTCTTTTTTCTATAGTTCTTGTTTCATATAAAGCATTAGATGCATTATGTACTTTAAATAAATTAAATACTTTTTTATCACTACTGTATGAATCTACTTATACATCTCGTGTGATTTCATCTTTTTCTAGTATTCTGGTAACATAATATATTTTTTACTTTGTTGCTCTTGTATCTGCTCGACTCAAGTATTATTTAACATCACTTTTTGTGCAAAAAGACCATCCTTTGGTCTATCTGATTTGTTTTACTTGTCATACTTTGGAGGTATCTTTATAAAATGAAGCTAGTTATTCTAGTTTTTTTTTCTTTTCTAATATTGTGCCATCCATCTCTTAATAATCTTCTTTTTTTTGGTTCTTGCAGGTATGTCTCAATTGTTTGGCCTGATATTCCTTCATTTGCAGTTTACAAGGCTAGTGATTGGTCCGTGGTTGATTCAGGGACTGGGAGGCTGTTTGCTTGGGATAATTGTCGTGATAGATATGCTCTACTGGAAACTGCTTTGGCTCCAAGAATGCCGGTCATACTTAAGGGAGGCTCGTCCAAGAAGGCAAAGGAGGCTCAAGCTGCTGCAGCTGCCGCAGCGGCCGCAGCTGCTAGTGCAGCTTCCTCTGCAACAGTTCAAGTCCGAATAATACTGGATGATGGTACTTCTCATGTTTTGACAAGGTCCATAGATGGTCGCAATGAGCCAGTATGTGCTGTTTTCCTGACCTTCCATTTGCATTTCCTTATCCTGATTTATTCTTGCAAGTGCCACTAGTATATGCTTGTTTAGTACTTTAGCAGTGTTTGATCACTCATCGTTACGTAAGTCCTAGATGCCTATGCTATATGATCTTAGATTCTCACACTTTTGTTGCATGTTTGTGTGAAGTGTTTTGTAATTTTGACATGATGTTTGATCAGAGGACTTCATTTCCTGCTCTTTTTTTTTTTGTGAAACTGGTCTTTTTACCTCATACAATTTTTCATTCCTTCTGTTGCAACATAATAATGCTGTATATGGTTGCTTACTATTCTTAATATGGAAATTTTGATTTGATTTCTTGAATTCAATTGACAAGCTTTACTAACTCACTTCCTTCTTGTGCTGCTAAAGGGCTGAAGGGGTAACCCAACCAGGCTTGGACCAACATTGTGAAATAACTTTCAAGATTTTGTAAGAATCTTAAAAGGTGCAGGGCTGGGGATGACACAAGGATCCTAGGGTCTTTTAAGATTATCAATATTATTTCATTAGTAAGCATAGAACTAGGGACTTTGATGGGTGGATGATGAATTAATGTGGATTGATCAGATGCATTGATTTTTTTTTGCATAGAAATGAAAGGAGATGAGTGTTTTTTATTTTCTAAAAGGATAATTTCATAACCAATTAATGGAATGAGTACAAAATAGGTCCATGAAAAAAAAAAAAAACAATAAAAAGCCGAAGTTACATATAACATGAGACATAGGGTGAATAATCCTTCATTGAAAACGAAAAAAATGCTTATATTCTCATTTTTAATGCCTTGCTTATGGCTTGGTGAATCTAGGGGATGATAGATTTTGTTATTGCTACCAGCTTAACATGCAAGATTTGAAAAATATCCACTAATGCATCAATTCTCTAAAGACTCTCATCAAAATCATAAAACTACTCTGAAATGTGATCATCGTTTTCATTAATAGGATGAAGATGAGGGGTAAGCATATTATGAAGAATAGGATCGATGTTCATGCTTGTGGGTGATGAGTTAACCATATTCTTAGGGCTAGCAGGAGAAAATAAAAAAAGCTCTGATTTCATTGAAAGATCTTGATTTTGAGCGCAAGCCTAATAGAATAAGAGTTGCAATCATCATATTTGGAGGTAAAAATTGTTTATTTATATGTGCCCTTAGTACCCCGATGTTTGATTTCTTTAGTTTTAAATAATTCTTGAAACATTTTGGATAGTTGTGCCCAAAAAATTTAGAAGAACAATAGAGTGGAATGCATTCAAATTCCACCTTATGCTAATAGCCACAAGATGAGGAATTAATCCACACATCCTTTTCGAGAGGAATAGAAACATCCAATTCAATCAGAACTCTAGCCATGCTTGTGCTCCAAAAATTTGCGTTAGACTCTTCCAATAGAGTTTAGTGGTTCAATGTGAAATTTTCATAAGGCTGATTGTATTGCAAATAATATACTACTCAAATAATTCGTCCTCAGTTTGTGAGGACTATAAGATCTTGTTTCAAGTTTCTCATAGGTGCAAACTCTTATGATTAATTACGTCTTTTAGTGACGAGAGAGAGTTTTCGATTAAGGCTAGTTTTTGGAAGCTAAATGCTTGGCGTATAGTAGAACACAATTTGACTTAGGGTTAAGAATTTGCCAGCACAAATTTCAAGTAGATGGTGGAGTAAATGATGACAAACTCGATCAATATCCAATGATTTCATCATCCTGGGTTAACATAAATTCTTGTTTACTTGGTCAACAGAGGTAGCTCACTTAACTCGACCGAAAGATCCTTGTTGGCAGCCATGGGTTACATGCTCGAAGGTGATCTTATAAAGTTGGGGTGGATGTTTGTCTAAGGAGATGGATTCAAATTTCTTTAGCTGAAAGATGGTATTGTACCATATCTAGTGCATTATATGATGCACTTACTCAAAGCTTTTTTTTAAGCTATTGGGAAAGTTTGGATCTCTGGGTGTGATTGTAATTTAATAGTGCTATTTTGCGGTGAAGCCATCCTACCGGAGACCTATGGTCATAACCGTTTGTTTGTGGTGCCATTTGGCAGCAAAATTATTGGTTAGAGGATGTGTGCCACGTGGATGCTTTTGAGTTTGAAAAAAGAGTTTGCAAGTTTTAAAATAATTGTGAGCTTTGCAAAGTAGTTGCGTACTATTCAACGCACGAGAATTTTAGTTTAACTTATTCTTAGTTTGCACAATGTTCTCTGAACTCAAATTGAGGATACATTTAGGAAGACATGCGTGTAAGTTTTTTATTTTAATTTTTATTTTAATTATAGTTACATTCGATCCCACGTAGTGGGACAAAGGCTTGATGTTGTTGTTGTTGTATGTTGTGCACACCTTTCGATGCATTTACATAGTACATTTGTATGATTCATAATGTACTTGCACGATTTTTAATGTGACAACACATTGTATTTGCATTTTCTTGGGTGCATTTCACTGTGCTTGCGACTTTTACATGTACTTGTGTGCTTTTGAAATAGAGACATGCTTCTCAAAGAAGTTGCGTGCTTCTTAAGGCAGTTGTAATTTTGAATTTGAAAATTGAGTTTTGATGTGTGCATGATTTGAAAATATCCAAATTTTAATTGTTTGTGCGCATACAAAAGTTTTTTTTTGAAAATTTGAAGTGCATGTCATGTCTGATTGTGTGAATATGTTGTAAATTCGGTGGGTTAGAATGTGAGTTGGAATCTTGTTATGTGTAAAGTTTTGTATTTTTTTTTTTTGCATTTCATCCCCATGAGTGTTTAAGTAGACCATCACAATGGCACTCATTCGCCTTTGAATAGTTGGTCTCACTTTTAGTTATTTTATGTTCAATCATGGTTCATGATTTTTGAGTGATTTGAAAGCCGATGAGAGGTCTTCTTTGTGCTCATTGGCAAGTTACAGAGTTCCCTGCAAGTTGAGTTTTGTATTCAATTTTTTTTTAGTTCTAATTTTTGCAATTCATAGGATGCAAAATGTGCTCCATTTTGAATTTTCTTTTTTGTTCGTATTTTGTAACTTTCCACTCTTGTATTTTTTCCCTTTTTTCGTTGCTTTCATGTCTATAACCTCTTTTTAGTTATTTTCTTACATGTTCTTTTGGGATTTGGGGTTCCTTCCATCCTATATATTGTTCGGCGTAGTTAGTGAAATAATTAATCTGAATTGTATTCATCAATTTGTTGGGAAATGCACATACCTTTTGCCCTATATTTTATGCTTTGGTGAGTTTGATGAAGGATGTACGCTGTGATCTAGCATTTACGGCTTATGTTAGGTCGATGATAAATAATCCTTATGAAATTTTAATTATTTGTGGTTATCCCTTAATTCAATTGCGAACTGCATGAAGGTTATTGGATTGCATGGTGGTGCACTGCTTGGAGTTGCTTACCGAACATCAAGACGAATTACCCCTTTAGCTGCAGCTGCAATTTCCACCCAATCGATGCCATTATCGGGCTTTGGCAGTTCTTCTTTCGCTACAACTGATGATTTGAAGCAGGTAGGTGCTGAAGCAGCACCTCAGAATTTCCAGTTATACAGGTGCAAAATCAATAAGGCAATGCTCATTATTATTTTTATTTTTATTTTGTAATTTACCCCTGTCTAAATGGTTGCATTCACGTTCAGGCTTCGTTTGGGACGACTTTCTTGTTGTTCTAGTATAAAAATTTTAATTTTTTAACTAAAAAGCTGCTTCAAGAAGCATAAAAAAAGCCGTCCCAAACAAAACCTCAGTCACCATTTGCTACAGCCTTTGAACGTTGAAACATGTCTGATTAGCTTTAAACTATGCAGCTGGGAAACTTTTCAATCTGTGAGTGGTCTACTTTCACAACCAGAATGGTCAGCATGGGATCAAACAGTTGAGTATTGTGCTTTTGCATACCAGCAATACATTGTCATATCTTCTTTGCGTCCTCAGTATAGGTATCTTGGAGATGTTGCAATTCCAGCTGCCACTGGTGCTGTCTGGCATCGCAGGCAGCTGTTTGTTGCTACTCCAACAACCATTGAGTAAGTATTCCATTCATTCAATGCAATTTTTTTTGTCATCATTGAAATTTAATTGTGGATAAAGGGTAAAGAAAATGAGAAAATTGTTGGTGTCATGGAGGATTGTTTCATTAATCGAGCTGGGGTCCATGTGGAGTGCGCCATGGTGTGTTGGTAACTAAATAATCTACTTTGTAATCAGCTAAAAGTGATGAATTATTATTCTTAGAGCTGATTCAAAATTATTTCAAATTAATTTGGGCACAATTCATTGTTATTCAAGATGGTTCAACTCACAGGATAAGTTAATGTCAAATTAACCTAAATATTTTGAGAGAAATACTAATGGTTATGAAATATGAAGATGTTGCAGTATTATTTAAATGTTACTAATAGAAACTTGTCTAATAGAATTAGAATTCTCATGAATAGGAGCTGGACAACGACAGTTTAGTTGAAAACAATACAAGTATATACGAATTCTCAATGATAAAAAAGAAAGAAAAAAAAAAAAACATTATTTGACACATTCTTATCTCCTTCCTTTTTCTCCCAAATGATGCTTAGCTTGCCACTTGAGCACATTTGTGCATGCCTATAACGGCTCAGAATCATACGCTCTCCAGCCCTATCATGTGAAAGTTGCCTTGCCTGACTCCGCTTTGCCAACCTGTTGTCTGGAGTTCATCAATTGTGCCTGCCTATGTTCACTGCCGCTTTGCCCTCTTGCATGACCTGAGCAGCCTGAGCTTTGCTTGAGCTTCAACATGGTATAACATGCATGTTTCCCATGGATGAAATATCAAATATGCAAACAATCATTATTCTAAAACTCATGTATCTACTTGCATATATATATATATATATATATATATAAGTAGTTTGTAAAATAATTGAATCACTTAAACTTGGGAATCTAAATCTTTTAAAGCTTGGTCTGACAGTTTAATTTAAAAACACCATGGGCCTCAATACCATACGAGTCTTTATGCTTTGCGACTGTTGATGAGGCGCGACATGTAGATGTATTTGATATTTAGAAAAATTAAAAGCATGCCTTTTTCTCGAAAAAAAGAAAAAGAAAAAAATTGGATTAACCCTGCAAGAAAAAAGACTTTTAGTGTCAAACAAGCCACCTTTTAGTAGGGCCCATCTTGGCTTTTCACAACATGCGATATTTATTGAAAATACATGATAGGTTGGTCTGAATGTTTCAGATGATTATGGATTGCACATGTAATCATGTCACGGATATTCTCGTCCTTTTTGGAGTGATCTAAAAATGCAAATAAAATAGATATTTTGTAATTGCTTGTTTAAAAGAATTCATCCTTAACCTTTTTCATTAAAATGTGCATATATGGTTGATTTAAGAAACCCCTGCTTGAAAAAAAAAAAAAGAAACCCCTGCTTGAGACTTTATTTGAGGTTGATTTAAATCTGGTTAGTTTTTTTTTGTGTGGCTAAAATTAAAAGTATATTCAAATAGTGCTACCGAAAAAGTTTGGCTATTAGGCTTTCTTAATAAGATGAATTAAATCATGAAGATAATAAACTATTATTACGCAATCCAACTTTGATTGAAGTACATAATGTCAACCCAATTTATCTAGCAGATAGTCAGGATGTCTACTTTTATTCAAGGACAAAATATCTATTATGCAATTTAATAGTTATTCCTCATCTTCATTCTCTATGTATTAACTCTTTTGTATTTTTCTTAGTACTTGAGTAATTCCTGATAATTGTCTTGGATGTGTTCATATCATTATCTTAGTATAAAATTGGGTTTAAATAAAAGTCCTTATACTTTGATGCCAATGTGTCTTGGTTCAAGCAGTATTCTCCTTTGCGTCTAGCCTAGGGGTGTTTGGCAAATATCTCAGTGAATGCAACTATGATGATTTTCTTTAGATCTATATAAATTTAATTTTTGTAATTGGTATTATGTCCTAGACTTGGTTAGAAAATATTAGAAATGACATTTCTTTTTTAAATTTAAATGAGAATTTGACTTTTAACATAACACAATGGAGAAAAATGATTCATGTAGTCGACCCCACATAGTGGGATAAAAGCTTGTTGTTGTTGTATTGTGTCACATCCCATTTTGACCTCTCATTTATAGTCAATCTAGAGTATAACAGAGAAGGAAAATCTAAATATGAATAACATCTATAAGAAGCAGATGAGTAAGAAGTAATATATTTAGACTCTCCTAACATATCAAACTTTATACTTAACAATATAAAGCATATAATATATCTCAATTAAACTTCACATATAATCAAAAGAAATACAGAGCTTTATTAAAACTTTTTAAATTTTACTTACATACCCCAAAAGCCTTCGTTTTTATGTTCAGATTCATTTTCTTCTTCTTCTATTTTTTCGTCATTTTCAATGTAGTTATTTCTTGGAGTATTGTTTTTTATTTAAGTCGCAGAGAGATGATCATAAAACTCGCATTTATAATATGGTCCAATTAGTTTTGGTTGTTCAATAGGTTTAGACCCCATTATTCCTTTACCTTTATCCATATTTTGAGTTTCAAATGATTTAATTCGCACACCCGATGTTCCTACAGAAGTTTGTGAAGATTAAGTTTTAACCCCGCTAGTCTGTTTTCGCTTGTGTTTTAGTTATTTTGTTGTGACCCCGTTGATGTTGCTTTTCAATTTTCAGTGCCATTCGATAAGTCTCGTCGAGTTTAATTACGTGGTGCAGATGTAGTTGATCATGAATTGTCCATTTTAACCCGTTGATATACCTAGTGACAGTTCTTTCCTCGGATTCATCTAAGTCATTTTGAGAATGGAGTTTATAGAAAATTTATGTGTATTCTTCAACAGTTTGACTACCTTGACACAGATTATTAAATTCTTGAAAGATAGTTCGTGCGTGGTCTGGAGGCAGGAATTTTCCTCTCATTTTTTATTTCATTATTTTCCAGTTTTGTATTTTTTCTTTCCCTCACCTTAATCTATTGTTTTGAAGGTTCTTCCACCATGTGAGTGGATGACCAGTGAGTTTTAAGCTTGCAAATTTAACCTTCATGTTATCCGGTATTTCTTTCCATTCAAAAAACCGATCCATTTTTTCTACCCATTCAATGAATTGGTCAGGTTGTAATTTTCCTTCAAAGTTATGAACATCAATTTTAATCCCATAATCTCAATTTCTTTGTCGCCTATTTTGGTTCCTAGGGACTTCCCTTCACTTTTAGAAGTTTGAATATTAGGATTGTTAACATTTAAATTTGCAAGAGTATTAGCCATGTTGTTTATTTGATTTTGCAAATCTGCTAACTGTTGCAGCATTTGTTGCCATTCCCCTTGATTATTAGTCATTTTATTTCTCAAGAAAGAGACTCACACCAACCTAGGATTTGCTAACTTGCTCTGATACCAAACTTGATGCAGTCAAACTAGAAAGAAAGAGCCAAAATAAGAGAACACCGGGGTTAGTAGACAATTAGACATTACTCAATTCAAATTAGAATGCATACATCCAAACAAACACCAAAACAAACTAAAGTCAAATAAACGAAACAAAATTAAAATAAAAAAACTACCCTCAGAACAACTGGCAAGCGGATTCCTCACATGTAACGAAAAAAGTAGGCAAAGTAAAATAAGAGCTTAAGGGCTTGTAAACCAAGGGTCCACCACAGCTACAAGGTCCAACGTCCAACGTCCAACGTCCAACGTCCAACGAAACTCCTCCGGCAAATGTCACCAAATCAGCCAACAAACACCTCCAATAGCTCAAGAAGAAGGATACAAGTGGAGTGGAACTTGCGGGGAGAAGAAGAGGTTAGAAGCTCAAGACAAAATAGAAAGGAGGAAGAGAGAAATGGAACAAGCTCTCAAGCTTTTCCAAGGAAGAAGAAACCCTTAGGTTTTGTAGAGACTTTGTAGGTAAGGGGAAATAGAAGGACAGAAATTATTTCAGAACAACACCCGAAAAGACCACACATAAAATTGGGAAAAGCAGCCACGGGACAAGCAGCCAGGGGAGGAACCGAAGGAGCAGCACAAGGGAGCGGAACCAGTAACCAGGGGGACCGGAACAGGCCACGGGAAGGAGAACCAGGAGGGGGAAAAATCGAAGAGACACAGAGAAAGGAAAAGACAAAATTCCTCTCCACTTAATGAGCTAACAAGAGGAATATCTTTTCATATTAATGAGCTAAACATCAGCTCAAGCATTTATGAGTTAGAACTAAGTAGCTCCCAAAGAACACAGCCCAAACCCGAGCAGCCAAGGCCCAACCTGAGAAGCAATCAGCAGCCCAAAGACCAAATAACCCAAGTAGCCAGCACACCCAAAGCTTGCCAAGCCCAAGCACAACTTACTCATGATCATTGGATGTTTTCCATCATAGGATAACATAAAAAAAAACTATTATATTCAAATTACAATAGAAAATGAAAATAAATTGAAATATGCATGCATCAATCTCTATGTACACCCAAAATATATGTACACCAAAAAAAATAGTCACCCCTTTTTGTCTAATACCCTATTGGCTTCTTCCCCTTTTCTTCAGTACAATCACTATTAATGAGTTAGGCTCAATGAAATACACAAGTAATGTATAATAAATAGTAATAATATTTTTAACAATTAATTTAGAACATATTGAAACTCATACTGATCATAAGAAATGCATAGCATTATTTTCCATATTGCTAGCTATTCAACACATTTAAACAAGTCATATGATGACTATAAGCTTTTTCGTACTTTTAATTTTTTAATTCAAAGTTGGATCCAGATTCCAATGCCAGTTAATTTTAACAATCAGAAACTATGCTATTGTAGATTTGTAGTCACAAATTGCATGAATAAATTGAAATTAAAATGCTATCATAAGACAGTTATGAATTTACAAATATATAAATTTCTACTATTTTCTATGCATTGTTTGGGTATCTCAACTGACTTGGAATTCGTTCTTCTAGGATCTATTTTCTTCTCCTTTTATACACTGCCTAAAACATAATTTTCTTCATTTACACATGCTTATAAATAAATAAAATAAACAATATGAATATTTTACAATTACCTCAATTGTACTCTTATTCGTTCCATTCAAATTCCCTTTCCTTTCTGAAACTTCTCCCTACATCTTTTCCTTGCTTTTCTACCTAACAACAACAGCACAACAGCTGATAAATATCACAACAACATCTACAAATAAAAGTCTTGTTAATTTCAACTACTCTTACCTGATTTTCAGTTTTTTCTTCTTTTCTTTCCTTGCTGATTTCAGTTTTCAGCTAATAATAGCTGAGGGCAGGGATTCACAGTAACTAGTAACCATATTAAAGAAATGGTTTCAAAACCTTCTAGATGTTGCTTGGACAAATTATCTAGTTTCTAACATGATTTTAAATTAGTAACTAGTTTTTTGTTCATTTAATCTTAAGTAAAATATGTGAGATGAATTTCAATCTTTAAGAAAAAAAAATCATAGTATTAGTTACGCTTAACATGCAAGGAGCCTTGGATCTCCGTTTACTTGAGCTTTAGGTATTTTTATATTTTTTAATGTAATATAGTGACCCTTGGTGTTCTTGTGCTAGGCATTTGTCTATGTGGACACCATCTCTTTAATTTTATTATATATTTTTTTAAGCACAATTTATAATAAGATAATGATATGATCATAAATAGAGAAATTGCCAAAAATTGCCATATTACAAGAAAATTATCTATTGTCGATAAATTTTATTATATTTTTTTGAAGCACAATTTTATAATAAGATAATGATATGAGATTATGGGACTACCTTGCTTGAAACTTGGTGAAAACTATCTAATGCCGATACATTTTTTAGATTAAGTCCACATCATCACTCATAATTCCCACATAAAAATCATTAGTTTTTGGAACATAATGAATGTCTGTATCTTTACTAATACAAGGGAGATGAGGATTTTTTAAAATGGGAGAATCAAATTTTGCATGCACGAACATGAATACGAGGACAAAAATGATAGAACACAAATAAATGACACTTATATTATTGAAAATATAGTATATTAACATGCACTGGACAAATCATTATAATTTATATTTTTAATTAAAATAATTACGTACAAATTAAACGAATTAGGCAGATTAAATTTCTGGAGTTATATAAGTGATAATTATTTTTTATTGCACAACACACAATTCACAAAATATTAAACAGTACAACTTAAGCAAATGACATACAAAATCTTAGCATAAAAATTGCAACCGTATATTATTTGATATTTCTTTTATAAATGATGTGTCGATCTATAATAAACTTATAAAGTTATAGTTAAATCTATTTATTTGAAGGATTCATCCCCATTCCCTTTGATTATATAGTCTTTATTTGGAGTCGTTGTGGTTTAGTAGCGATAGAAGAGGATGTGTTAGGCTTTGTGGTTGGTTTTGGCATCAAGAGGGAAAGAACGTAAGCCATCAGACTTTGGAATTGAGCTTTGGCATCTAGAGTGGATGCGAAGTTGGGAGACGAGCATGTGAGAGTCGAGCTTTGGAAGCCGGTAGTTGGATTCGTAGATCTAGCAATGTCGACCTGATCCCTAGCCAAACATGGGAGAAAGGAAAATGTTGGGCAAAAAATTTGCGAGAGAAGTGCTTGAGGGAAATGAAAGTAGAAAAAGTGAGTTTTTAATAAAATTTTAGATAAGTTTTCGGGACATATGAGTTCATTTATTATTATTTTTTAATCAGATATGTGATAGCTTTGTCTGACGTATTTCGTGTTTGTCAGTATCCGTTACATGTTAGATATTGTATATCCCCTCAATGTGAAGTATCGATACACCGTAGTGGCTATAACATCATTCTTACCAAAACTTTGGCTACAAAAGGCCTCAAGAGATGAGAAATGGTAGTGTCCATTTGCAATGGTTTTCCAAAAATAAAACTTTAATATTTTTGGGTAGATTGATTAAAAAAATATAATCAAAGTTGTGGAAAGGCGACCCAAACAAGTCTAATAGGTGGTTCGACATATATATGAGATGTTGCTTTTGCAATTATCGTAAATGTATGATGATTAGTAGACTATTTTCTAACTTGTTTGTTTTAGATTGCTTATTTAGCTGTATTGTTTGAGCTAGGGAAACATAAGTAGAAATGTTCACAAACTAAATGGAAGAGGTTATAATGTTAATTTATTTAGTTAATCATTTGCGGTTTACCAAATGTGCATAACTTTTTGTGCCTGCTTAAAATGCATATTTTTATTTTTCTTTTTGTGTTTTACAACTTATGTAAATTTCCTGAGCGTGCCTTCTTAGATTTTACCTCTGTATATGTGTCCCAAGTCTGTGTTCAAATATGTTTCAGGTGCGTGTTTGTTGATGCTGGCATCGCACCAATTGATCTTGAAACTAGAAGGAGAAAAGAAGAAATGAAAGCCAAAGAAGCCCAAAGTAGAGCATTGGGTGAGCATGGTGAGTTGGCACTCATAACAGTTGAAAGCTCAGAAGTTGCTATTAATGAAAGGGTTTCATTGAGGCCTCCAATGCTTCAGGTAATCTTTGCCAGGTATATGAGTAACAATATTACTCTTTTTAAATGTTGATTTTACATTATTCTTCCACCATGTATCATGTATTTTTTCTATTATTTTGATTTAATTGAATCCTAAAAATCTCATTGAATGGCCTTGTTCTAGTTTGCATTTTTTTGGTTGTTGGTTTAATTCTTATGTTGATGTGGTTTATGGTATATTTGAGAGGTTATTTTCTTGTTGAATACTGCCAAGAAAACAAGTCTATTTGTTTATGTATGGTTACTAAAAACTAAATCTTGGTTTTGAATTGATGGTCAATGTTGACCACTATATGTATTTTGCGACAAATTCAAGCGAACACGACAGGGACAAAGGACTAATAGATGTTGTGCAAATCGGTTTTGGAGCGCCTCAATCACAATTGAAGTTGCTTAAACATAGCTTGCTTGCGAAACAGATTGCACCGATGCATCTGGAGCTTGGAAATTACCAAGGAAGGATATCCACAATTCAATTTGACTAAAATGACGGACTGCAGACGCAAAGTTTTTTAATTTGATTTGAAAGACCTTTGTTTACATTTGAAATCATCAAACTGGCGCTCACTTCGCAAATCAAGCATGATTGATGTGTGAGGAGCATTTAAATTGCCAAAGAAGCACCTTTTGCGATTAATTTGGAGCAAAGCGTCGAATGGACGCGATGTCATGCAAGCTGTGTTTGATACGTCTCGATTGCAATTGATGCCACTCAAATGTCTCCCTCTCCCGATCGGGAAATAGATTGCACTCACACATCTGAAAATTTGAAATCACTTGTAAAGTTGGCCCATATGAGCCTATATGCTGTATGAAGGCGGAATACAAAAATTGCCCGTACTGAGATGGGGACAAACTTTTGACATGTTCGGTTGATGAGAATTTTGCGCGAGACTACTATTAAAACACTTTTTAATTCCATTTCATTGTATGTATGTATGTACGTGTATATGAGTGTATGCATCCATGCGTGATATGTATGTATATTCCCTCTTTGTATGCTGTTGCGGTGCCTAACATCCATCCCTTCTCTTTGTGCATAGATAAGAATTATCAGGAAGTCCTTTGCAAGGAAAACTTTTGTTAACTGTAAGGATTAGAGGAAGGAATTATCTCCTCAAGATGCTGCAGTTTTAATTCAGTTGAGATTTAGAGCTTATCTGGTCAGACGTACTTGGTTTATTAATGTTCTTCGAGAATTGTTTGTAGCCAAATCAAAGCTGAATATGATGGGGACATCAGATCGTGGAAGGTTTATCAGAGTCGTGGCCGCCGATCTACGACCACGATCGAGTCATTGTACTTTTGATTTATGATTGTATTGTTTTAGTCATGTGTCCGTGTATTTGTTTTATTTTATGTTATTTTATTTCCCGTTGTACCCTTTTAGTAAAGGGGTGTCGTTCGTAAGCCCCGAGGGTATTTTCATCTTTTATTTCTTGAGTCTCATGTACTAGGCTATTTATAGACCCTTGTTTTATTTTTTTAAGCAATGAATGATTATTTCAGAATTTCGTTTTCCTGTTAGAGTTCTCATGAGAGTTTGAGAGTTGGAGTGGAATCCCTAGGAGAGGGAGATTTGCGCAATACCCACCAACCTAGATAAGTCGGGTTCGTGGTTCCATCCCCTGCGTTTTCTCTCTTCCTCCTCTTTCACTTAGCCTCCGGTTTCACCCTACCCGATTCCCCCCATTCAACTCACGGCCTACCCCCCATCACCCGCCGGCTTCCCCATCCAACCCCTCCCCCCCGTCATGCCCCATTTCCTAATTTAGATCATGTCATGCCCCATTTCCTAATTTAGATCATGTCAAATTTAGATGGATTTGAAATTCAAATTCAATTGATTTGAAATTCAAAATCCTTCCTAATTTACTAAATCTATTTTTGGAAAGTTCTTTAATGAGCTTCCATTTGAATTTTAAACGAGAGAGGATTTGATCACATCTTTCCTATCTCATGAATTTAAATTAGGAAGCTTCATTAATTCTCCCAAATCTCCTCCCTTCCCACCTTGGATGCCGCCGGCCCCTCTCTCCCTATCCCATTAAAACTCTTTTAATTATTTCCTAAAACCCATCCCTCACTTAGGAAATAATTTTAAATCCCTTAATTCCCTCTTGACCGAAATTTCCCTAATCCCTCTTTGATTAATTTGTTTCCAAAGTAATATTCTTACTTTTGGAAATAGATTTCAAACCTCTCTCCCCTTCTTCCTTGCCGCCGCCCCTCCTCTCTCTCCATACCCGACCCTCCCCCCTCTCTCTCTCTCAAATTCCCTCTCCCTCACTAATTCTCCACTTGAACTCTTTGCATTGACTCTTCCTCCAATTTCTCTATTTTCTAAATAGTAAAATCTGAAATTTTCTCAGATTTTGGGAGGAAATTTGGATTGTTCTTCGTGACAAGTTGAAGAGAACTTCTTGCCTCTTCTTCTTCAATAATCTTCAAGAGCACTAGCCGTCGTGGAAAACTTCATCCATTAACACCTATGAATGGCCAATCCGGAAACTGAATACGGTCTAATCTACGACGAGGACGGCTTCGTAGATATTCTATGGTCGACTTTCTTCGATGTTAATTCGAGGATCGACCACACCGTTGAGGATTACATCGAGCGCATTCTGGACGCCTTGGTGGAAGCAGTTGAAGAACAGCTTGAAGGCGTCGAGTGGAGGATCGCCGCCGATCCTTGACGAAGGTTTTTCCTAACCCCTTTCCCTCGTGTCTTTCTTAAGCCTAATCTCTCTTGTAAGTGAATGCAGTCACGAAGGATGCCTTGATCGACTTCTGCTAAAGCCTAGCAAACGTAGGGTTTGAGTGTATTTCTATGTTTACTAATTTTCATTGTTAGAATAGGGATTCTTATTGAAATTACTATTCTGGCATAACGTTGTTTACTGAGTTATTTTGGAATTTTCAAATCTTTGGTTATGTGATTTAGCCTAAGCGGGTGTGACCCCTTTCTTGTTTTAACTCGTGGTTTTAAATGCTAATGGTTTTTTCATTATTGTTCTAATCAAAGTTGTGCAAATTCTAAACATCATCACTGCATCCTTATATAGTTCTGCATCAGAACAAGATTAGATCCCTATTCAATATCCTTTCTCATCGACGTTATATAGCTAGCGACACGGAGGAATGTCAAAGATATACTTTAAAAAAAATCATTGTCTTCTGGAGTTTAACAAATTAGAGTAAGCTTGTTGTACAGTCAGAGCTTTTCATTTGACTTGTGCCAGGCAACTCAAGCATGATGATTTTCATCATTGATAGTGGCATTGGGATGGCTAAAGTTGATTTGGTAAATAACATGAGTACCATTGCAATGTCTGGGAGAAAGGAATTCATGGAAGGCTTGCAAGTTGGTGCAAATGTTTGCATGATTGGGCAATTAGGTGGTTCATTCACGATGCCAAGGAATGCTAATGATGAGTAACTTGGCAGTGGAACTAAATCATATTCTGCCTCTCTTTTTCTCTCTATGCATATAAAAAAAGAAAAAAAAGGAGAAAAAATTATATTGTAGTCTAAAGGTTTTCACTTGAGTAGATCTAAAACTAAATATATGGAGTGTAATTTTAGTAACAATAGACATAATGAGGGGATTGTTACTTTGGACGATGAAGTCATTAATAAGAGTACACATTTTAGATATCTTGGATCTATTGTTCAAAGTGATAGTGAAATAGATGGGGATATTATCAGCAAAATTCAAGTTGGATGGTTGAAGTGGAGGAATGCATCAGGCTTGTTGTGCGATAGAAAAGTCCCCCTCAAACTTAAGGAAAAATTCTATAAGATGATGGTGAGACCTACAATGCTTTATGGTGTCAAATGTTGGCCATTAAAATAGAAGCATAATACTAAGTTAAGTGTTGCAGAGATGAGGATGCTTAGGTGGATGAGTGGCTTTACGCTTAGAGATAATATACGAAATGAGCATATACATGAATGTTGGAGTAGCTCTAGTGGAAGATAAGATTAGAGAGAGTTGCCTTAGATGGTTTGGTCACATTAAATGGAGGCCTTCCTTCTGATGACCCGGTAAGGAAAGTTGATGTATTAGATTTGACTTATGTTAAGAAAGGTAGAGGTATACCTAAAAAGACTTGGTTAGAAAATATTAGAAATGATCTTTCTTTATTAGATTTAAATGCGAATTTGACTTTAACCGGACACAATGACAAAAAAGGATTCATGTAGCCGACACCACTTAATGGGACAAAGGCTTGATGTTGTTGATGTTGTCGGTAGTGGGGCAGTGGACCAATATGTGAGGTATTTTAGGCAAGGGTTGGGCGACCAGAGATGGAGGGGGTTGAGTTGAGGTATGGAGATCGGGTCATGTAAGAAGGATGAAAGAAATGTGTGATTCCTACCCTCGATACATTGGGAGAACCTTGGAGGGAGAGGATGTTGGAGCAAAGATGCTAGGGTGAGGAAGTTGAAGATGCTAATATTTGAAGGGGAGAATGCCCATGGGTGGGTGTACCAAGTGGAGATGCATTTCGCGATGAATGGGTTGAATGAGGAGGAGAAGCTTATGGCCGCAGGGCTATGTCAAGAGGAGAAAGCCCTAGCTTGGTTCCATGGAGAAAGGCGAAATATTCTATCCGCTCTTGGGAGTAGTTCAAGGATTGCTTATTGGAGCATTTCCTAGCCATAAGGGAAGGAGTCCTGCACAAGCAATTCTTTGCCTTGACTCAGGAGGGGACCATCATGGAGTATAGGGAGAGATTTAAGTTGTTGTCAGGGCGGTTGAGGGGGGTTTCGGAGGCGGTGCTAGAGGAAAATTTCATGAAGGTCCTAAAGCCTGGCATTTAGGAAGACCTCTGATTATTGAGGCTGAGGGGTTGAGGGAGACGATGGAGCTTAACTCAGATGGTGGAAGATTGGAGAAAGATGGAGATGACCAGTAGAAGCAGAGTCATAGGAGGCTTTTACAGGAGTGCCTCGACTTCACTAACACCGAGGACCCAGATGGTGTCATTTGAACAAGAGGGCACAGAGGGAGAAGAGGGGGAGAGTTTGCCTCGGGGCAAACTTCAAGCGCCTCACAGAGACAGAGGTGCAGAACATGAGAGCAAAAGGTTTATGCTTCTGATGTGATGAGAAGTATACACCAGGCTATCAGTGCAAGGACCGCACACTCCACATACTTACAGTTTGTGATGAGGAGACCGATAACGAGGAGTTGGTGGAGGAAGCAGAAGTGGGAGGAGACCACCTACACCTTCATGTGGCGAAAGTGTCTCTTAACTCAGTGGTTGGATTTACTCCAAATCACACCATGAAGGTGAGGGGACAAATCAGGGAGCGGTCAGTGGTAGTCTTGGTGGATAACGGGGCTACTCAAAACTTCATCTCAAATCAGGCCGTGACTCAGTTGGAATTGAAATTGGTGGATACAGGGAGCTTTAGAGTCATGATGGGGACAGGGGATGGAGTAGGGGGATTTGCAGGGGGATCGATGCCGACACTCCAAGGCTACAAATAGTGAAAGATTTTCTTCCCTTGGATTTGGGGAGCACTGATGTGATCCTAGGGATTAAGTGGTTACAGACGATTGGGGAGACGAATGTGGAGTGAAAATCTTTGAATATAGAAATTCATGTGGAAGAGAAAATGGTGATGTTGCGAGGAGATGCCTGTCTGTGCAGAACCATGGTTTCACTCAAAACCATGGTCAAGGTGATACAAGGAGCAGGGTTGGGATACTTGGTAGAGCTGCAGAGCCTAGAGGAGGTTCGAGATTCGGAGTCAGTCAAGGTTCCTGAGTGTGTACATCAGCTTCAACAGCAATTTCTAGAGGTTTTTCAGCAGCCTAGTGGATTACTGCAACGCAGGGAGCACAAGCACGTCATTACCTTGAAAGAGGGAGTTTCTCCTACTAGTGTCTGGCCATAATGGTATCCGAAGATTTAGAAAGATGAGATAGAGAGGCTCATTAGAGATATGTTGGAGGAAGAGATTATCAGACCTAGTGTGAGCCCCTTTTCCAACCCAATTTTACTGGTGAAAAAAGGACGACAATTAGAGGTTTTGTGTGGACTATATGGCCCTGAATAAAGAAATTGTGCTAGACAATTTTCCTATCCCCATGATTGATCAGCTACTGGATGAACTATTTGGGGCAGTCATCTTCTCGAATATTGACATAAAGTCGGGGTACTACAAAATCGAAATGAAGGGGATATGCACAAGTCAGCTTTAGGACTCATGAGGGTCAATATAAGTTTGAAAGGGGAAAAATGTTGGTGACGCTTGTGATGCGGTGCGTAAGCTCTTCATGTACTTTTGTTAGCATGGTGGGGAAATTCAAATTTAAGTATTTGTGACGCTTTGTTCCATTGTACTAGGAAATATTACAAATTTTATGTAGGCATACAAAGACTTGTAAGCATTTTTTTAAACACGATGGGATAGAATGATTTGACTACGGTTTCTTATGAAACCAATTTTGCAAGCCTTTCATAGCGTACTAATTTGTTTTATATATATATATATATATATAACGTATAAATTTTTTTTTTGGAGGGGACTTAGGGTCTATTTAAAGCCATTTACCTTTTGTAGTGCTCATTGTGGAATAAGATTTCAGATTTCTAAGTTTGAAGTGAGGGTTCACTGATTCTAACAGAGGTTGGTAAAGATGTCGTAGTGGGGTCTTCTTAGATTCTGCTACAAGCGACCATGGAAAACTTTGGAGGGCTCTCCTGGTGGTTGTTGGTAGGTTGACAACAGCTGCATACCCGCTTCTAGGTGACTAGCAGGAGCCAAGGGCAGGAGTTCTCGGGCAACAGCTGCTGGGTCTTTCCTTAATGGCATCAGGGATCCAGCAACTGCAGGAGGGTTCAAAGGTTTTTTTGTGGGTGTGTGACAACTCGGCCGGTTGCAGTCGAGGGTGTCTATTGCGGTCAATTCCAGCTCAGGGAGATTTGGTTGTCCGGCTGAGTGCTGGCCAGCATTGATTCTCCATCACTGATAGTATCCAGGATTTGAGAATCAGTCCCCAAGCTATTCATTGATGTTCCAATTTCAGGTTCTTGAAGTTCTCTATTTCTCTTCTAGGTTTCTTGAGATTTCCAACTCCATTCTCTCAACATCAGCTTAACAGAAATGCAAATAAATTAATCTTGTCTTTTAGCGAGCTTTATAGTTAGTGAGTTTAAGCCGATATTAACATAGGGTGCTCTATGGTAGCACAGTTTTAACAGGATGGTGGATGTGTCTAATTCATGCAACTTGACAACCATTTGAAACTTGCTTTTTTTAATCTGTAAACAAGGCAATCACAAGAAATGAGGTCGGTTTCCTTTGAGATAGTTTTTCTAAACCCTAGATGCATGCCTGTTAGTATTGGGTTTGAGGAAGCGTAGTAGAATCATTTGGCTTGCGGCATCTCAGAGTATGGAGACAAATATTACTCTTGAGTGGAACTAATCTTTCAATGCTTAACCAATCGAAACCTTTGAATGATTTTGTTTTTTCCTAAATGTTCTATTTTGAATGTTGTCAACTGGAAAACAGTAATTTCATTTATGGACACAGTGATCTCTTTGGGGAAGGGATACGAAATGAGCATATACGTGAAAAGGTTGGAGTAGCTCCAGAGGAAGATAATATTAGAGAGTCACCATAGATGGTTTGGTGACATAAAACGGCGGCCTTCCGATGACCCGGTTAGGAAAGTAGATGTATTAGATTTTACTCGTGTTAAATAAGGTAGAGGTAGACCTAAAATGACTTGGTTAGAAAATATTAGAAATGACCTTTCTTTGTTGGATTTACATGAGAATTTGACTCTTAACTGGACAAAAATGGAGAAAAAGGATTCATGTAGCCGACCCTATAGTGGGATAAAGGCTTATTGTTGTTGTTGTTGTATGGACACAGTGACTTCTTTTATATTTTTCTTGTTCTTCACCTATACAAGAGTTAGTTATTTTCCTTTCTGTTAGGATTTATTAAGCTTTGCCTCAGGTTCTTTGGGGCTTAGAGACACAAGCTTGCTTGAAATTTCAAATTCGGGATGCTATTTCCGTAATAGGTTTGAACCTGCAGAAATTGAGTAATGTACTGACATATTAGATTTTTACTAAAATAAGCTCCAATTGTGAGTGAACTAGGGTAGGCTCATCTGATGATTGATGCTGCAACCTACTGATAAGCTTGCTACCTTATGATGTTATTGTGTGTATGTTTCATACTACTTTTTGAATTCGAAACAGAACATCTGAAGAAGCTACATATGTTTTAAATTACGGACATGCTATTAACACGGGATTTTCTCAAACTTCTCATATGCCGTTGTAAATAATGCCATTCACAAGTACAACGTCAAATGCTTAAAACCCCTAAAAGTGATGGAATTTTTTCATGGGAATGTTTTAACCTCTTTAATTTCCATCTATGCAGAATTTTATAGGTTACTTGCTACTTTACTAGGTATGTATTATTACTTAGATGGGAAGTGGCCTTGTTATGTGTTGATTGTCTTAGTAGAATTTAGCCCCAAAATGCTGAATGAGTATTTCGAGTTACCAGCTGACAGAGGAAAGTATCATGTCTAGACTAATCCTATTGTGTCTTTTAGTGAAACATTGTCTGCAATGCTTTTCAATTGAAATTTAGTAAGATGCATATGAATAGAGCTTAGGACTTTTTTGCTTAAATTATTATTTTTTATAAAGTTGAAGCTTACACTAGATTTTGTAATTTCAGGTTGTTCGGCTGGCATCCTTTCAACATGCTCCCTCAATACCTCCTTTCATTACATTGCCCAAGCAGTCCAAAATAGATGGAGAGGATGCTGTTAATCAAAAAGAGACAGAAGAAAGAAAAGCAAGTGAGGTTGCCGTAGCAGGTGGTGGTGTATCTGTGGCTGTAACTCGTTTCCCTCATGAGCAGAAACGCCCTGTTGGACCTCTTGTTATTGTAGGTGTAAGAGATGGAGTCCTTTGGCTTATTGACAGGTAAACGACCATTAATTAGCCATTTTTTCTGTTTGATAGCATTGTCTTCTTCCTGTTAGGTTAATGCTGTTAGAACTGCTCATATAGATCTCTCCCATCCACACATCCATGTCATGTTTGATCATTTAACTGAAACGGTTGTTGACCTTCATGTCATAATCAGCTCAAGCAGCAAAAGTGACAATTGACGGGTGTGGCATCACGCAAAACTATCCCAATGACTTCTGATCGTCGAACGGACTTCGTCGTTGTGCTCGAAACATCAAAATCACCCGAAGGACCTCTCGTGAATGATTTGAGCGAAGACGAATGAATTCGGCGAACTACAGATGAAATGTTGCACGATGTTGCTCGAACGCCGCCTATTTGCAAAATGAATTTTGCCATTGCGTCTGTAACGTAAAAAATACCTAGAAATGGCTGTGATATTGCATAGGTCATCACAAGAGCGAAATTGTAAAATCGGCATGTGTTTTGAGGCAATGACATATAAATCAAGGTGCGTAGAATACGAGAAATCGAGTGAGGGTTGATTTTGAACTTTATATAATGTCAATTTACTTTATAATAAAAATTTCTCTCTATATATATATAATCTTAAATGAAAATAAAAAAGAGACTTATAAAATTATATTTTATTCAAATCTCTGCCAAATCTTCTAATCCCATCTCTACTGCATCCTTCAATTTAGCGCTATAGTCTATGGCACGTCAATTATGGCAACAAGGGAAAAAAAGGGAATGTACGATCTCACAACTCATTTGAAATCCCTCCATTCTCCTCTTCACCATGCTGAACTCTCTCTCTCGTCCTCTACTCCCTATTCGAATATCCGAACTCCTATGCTTGATCCCCAACCATAGCCCACAATACTCCCTGCTGTCACACTCTTGTTCTCCTAACCGAACTCCTCTTAGCACTAAAACAACCACCATCTCCCACCTCTGCCCGATTCTTCTACTCCCTCTACCAAGTTGAGTAGCTCAACTCCCTCACCCGTCGCCTCTCAGATCCCAATGGCGGCGACAACCTCGTACAGCCCCACATCTCCCTCGATTACTTGCAGGCAGCTCCACTCCAACCCCTCGTGCCGATCTTAGCAATCCGATCTTCCTATGGCCTCCCTCACTCCCCTCTTAGAGCTAGCAAGTCCCCAACCCATTCACAAACTCTATCACTGCCATTGCTTAAAGTTGCACAACATGAGGCTCGCTTCAATGCAATTTCAATGAAAAATGCCTTGAGGCTTTTGCCTTGAGCTTTTTTCTTGAGGCTGACACCTCATCTTGGCTGAAGTCCGCCTTGAGACGCACCTTGCCTCGTTGGCATGAGGCGTATGCCTCACTTTATTTATGTATTTTTTTATTTTAAACTTATCTAAATTCTATTCAAAAGCCTTAAAAGAATCACGTCTTTTTGCACCCCCAAGCCGCAACAACTTCCTCTCAATTACCTCGACCTCTAGCTCATCATCTTCGCCGTAGCCACCACTGTCTTAGCCGTCGCTGGGGATCACTTGAAAATCGCATGCCACCACCATCTCCTCTATAAATTTTAGAGTTTTAAACTTATATTTATGTTGATGACAAATATTTATGAAAGATGAAGATGACTGGAATAAATTAAGAAGTAGAATTGGAGGTATTGGACCCTACAATTGAAAGTTGAGATAGGGGAGAGACAAATTTGTTATGATAACGACTCAAATAAAAATCCTTTTAGTAATGATAGTACAAATGATTTTTGAGCTGTTGTCAATTATTTCAGCTTTATTTAGAAATTAAATGTGAATGAGTAGAAAACATAGAATGAAGAAATTTAGAGCTGAACTTGTTATTTGATGCAACCAAAATTATAGGAAGCTAAGGTTACAAACAAAGATGGCGTCTCCCTTTCAAAATGATATAAACATACACAAATAGAATAAAACAATATTATTATATCCCACAATAGTTTAAGCAAACACAAGCATTCCTTATAACTTCAAATAAAAGGATATAACGACATCATACGACTTCTCAACGCTTTGAGAAGAAAGATACAATGGGGAACCGGGAAGCCAAGGGGCAGCAACGGGAACCCAATAGCCAAAGCAAAGGGGAACCGGGAAGCCAAGGGGCAGCAACGGGAACCCAACAGCCAAACCAAAGATAGTAGCACAATCGGCCCTAACAAATCTAACACAAGCAGCCCAAATAAAAAAAAGCGGTGGCTTTGCTTACATCAAATTCTCCCCTGGAATCTCATCTCCTGATGAGATGACTTTAGAACTTCCATGATGTGATGAAGGAGCCACATCCAACTCTTGTATTAAGGCCACATGCTTTCTCTGAATCATTTCTCTTTCTTGCTTAAACAGGGCTTGAAGAAGTTTCTTTCTCTTCTCGTATTTTTTTGTAACCAAATTCTTTTTATGTTGAATTTTGTACAACTCGTTCTGGATGGGATTGGTAGAGCTTCCTTGGGATGGGACCCATTTGCTTGTTGGAAATGGGACTTCAAGATCACTTGGTTGATTTTCACCAACTTCAGATTCGACTTCTTGATTTGGATCCTCCGTTTGTTGATGAGGGTCCATAATTTTTTTTTTTAATTTTTTGAAATAGAAAGGAAGACACAAAACCTTAGCTCTGATACCAAAATGATGCAACCAAAATTACATGAAGCTAAGGTTGCAAACAAAGATGACATCTCCCTTTCGAAATGACATAAACATACACAAATAGAACAAAACGATATTATTATATCCCACAATAGTTTAAACAAACACAAGCATTCCTTACAACTTCAAATAAAAGGACATAACAACACCATACGACTTCTCAACGCTTTGAGAAGAAAGATACAATGGGGTGTAAACTTGTGGATAGAAGAATTAGATAAGAAGACTGAGACGAAGTTTTAGAGGAGAAGAGGAAGGAGACTGGCTTGCAAACTAGAGAAAAAACACTCAGGTTTTCATTCCAAAAACTATCACCAAAAACTCTTAAAAGCCCAAAACTCCCCTATAAATAGAGGAAAAAGAAGCCCAAAAGACACCAAACAGCCGCCCAAAACAACCAACCAAAAGGGCAGAAAAAACAACATTAAATGCACGTTTGGACTCCCACCCGAATAGCCACAGAAAGGGAACCGGGACAGCTAAGAGAAGGAACCAAACAACCAGTAAGGGAAACCAAGAAAGCAGGGAGCAGGAACCAAACAACCGTAAGGGGAATCGGGAAGCCAAGAGGCAGCAATGGGAACCCAACAACCAAAGCAAAGGGGAACTAGGAAGCCAAGGGGCAGCAACGGGAACCCAACAGCCAAACCAAAGACAGCAGCACAACTGATCCTAGCAAATCCAACCCAAGCAGCCCAAATAAAAAAAAAGGGGTGGCTTTGCTTACATCAATATTATATGATATTTTATGCAATTCATATATTTTATGTTATTTTGGTCATATAATATTTAGATTTCAATTATATTTCACATAATTTACCATCTCACATCTTGTGTAATTTTTTATTTAACATGTATTTAAATTTATTTCTTCATAGTTCAATAGAAAGTTAATATGTCATCATTTAACACATTATTTGGGTATTATATAAAAATCACTTTTACATTTTATCTTACTTTAGCAATTTTTAGATGTCGAGGCTTGCGCCTCCTCTCAGGAACGAAAAATGCCTTAATACCCAATTACGTAATTTTAAACCTTGATCATTGCTTGACACCATTCCAGCCACCCACTCCAAGGCCGCACGAACCGCCTCCCTTCTTTCACTTCTGAACCGAACTCTCCCATCATTGTAGGCTGCAGCCCCTCTTAAACTGCCCGGCTTGCTCCTTTTCAAACACGTCAAAACTCAACCACCTGCTATTGACCGAATTCCACACATAGCCGAATCCCATTATTCTTCCTGCAAGCTCTATTCCAGCACCTGCTGCCCCATACACTCTCCTCATTCAACACAGCAGCACCACCTCACCCCTCTTCTAAACCTGTTACCTGTGGCCACGCCTACAACAACAAAAAAATCTTGCAAATTCGATCTTTTCCTGCACTCCAGCTCTTTTCCACACAATTGCTGCCACTACACAAACTAAGTCATTCCTCACTTCTCACAGACCTCCCAACTCATCCACCTCCACTAGCCCTCACAACCACATACTCAACCAGCCACTCTCTCTCTAACAGAAATAATCTAAATGCTCATCAAGAACAAAAATGAGAACACTAAATGCAACTCTTGTTGCTTTGAATGAACAATTCTGATCATGAGTAGGGAAATTTTAATTAATTTGACCGCTTGCCTATGGGTGTTAACAAGGGACTCATAATGAACATACTAATTCACCTATGAAGTGTCACTCGACACCGACCATGCACGCCTTTCTTAGCATGTTGGGTAGGCCTAGACTCCCCAAAATTTCTTTTATATCGGGGGATACGTTGGGAGATTGCCAAATTTTTCAGTGAAGAGGGGACCTTTAAGAATAACCTATTAAACTTAAATGCAACTAAACGAAATCTAAATGCTCATCAAGAACAAAAATGAGAACACTAAATGCAACTCTTGTTGCTTTGAATGAACAATTCTGATCATGAGTAGGGAAATTTTAATTAATTTGACCGCTTGCCTATGGGTGTTAACAAGGGACTCATAATGAACATACTAATTCACCTATGAGCAAAGAACAATGAACTTGTAATGAACACATCAACCCTCTTATGGGCAAGAACAAGAACATCCTATTTGTAATAAATGTGAAGGCTTGCTTATTGAAGAAGATTGGAAACCTGTAATGAATGTATCAGCCCTCCTTTGGGCATGAATATGAACTTGTAATGTACGTAATAGATTGCAATGAGTAAGAGTTTATATTGTGTATAATAGCTCGTCAATGGGCATATGCAGGGGACTTGCAGTAGGCAAAATAACTTGCCTACGGGCAACAATAGGAGACTTCTAATAATCACCGCAGTTCACCTAGTACCAAGAAAGAACTTATAATAAACACTACAATTCTCCTGTGAGCAAGAGCAGAGAATTCGTATTGCACACAACAACTCATCTATGGGTGAGGACAAGGGGCTTTTATCAAACATATCTACCCGCCTACAGTGATTATAAGGAACTTGTGGCAAATAAGATAACTCGTTTATAAGCAAGAATTGAACTTTTCAACTTCAACCTAATACTTAGACTCTCTGATTACAAAAGATGATGAAAATTGTTAGTTCTATTCGCCTTTTAATGCCATCAAATCGACAACACTCGTACAAGCGGGCAAAAAGTGTTACCTTGAAAGTTTAAAAGTAAAATTTTATGTTTATGCATTTCCTAATGACAATCACCTGTACAAATAATCAAATTTAAATATTTTAAAATTCTCCCTCATTCATTAAAATACAAATTTACTAAACCTAAGTGTAACACATCGAAAAGAGTGCACATTTATTTAAAAAGAAAGTAAGAAATTTTAATTTTCTACATGTGTTATGACAAATGTGCTAAATATGCAAACACAAATGTCTGAGAAGTTAGAAGCTCTCTTTAGTTAAAATTCTACTTTCAAACTAATTACCCTGCTTGTACTCCGAGCATTGCTTTGAACTCCTAAATTCGAGGTCTGAAAATACTGTGCGGGTTAAATATTTAAGTCCAATATTCCTCCTTGAATGGATTGCAATCGACATGACTTGGATTTACAAGCAAACACCTAATCACAAAAGTATGAGGATATTTAATTTTAAAGTTCTCATTAGGCCTTTAGAGGCTCTTTGAATGAAACTCATCATAAAAATATAAGCTCTCGATTCTCAGCATTCATTACAATATTAATCATCCAACCCGATCCTCTGTTAGTGGGCAAAAAGAGTTGGCACAGTTCAAATGACAAATATACAAGCTATTTAAATCTCCACGATGATGTTCCTGTTGAATGTTAATCTTAACTAGAGGGGACTCTACCCTTTCAAATGCTTTTAAACATCAACAAAATACAAATATTTTTAAAGCACATCTTCGTCACCTTGATGATGGTCGTGTTTAAAGCTAATATCAGTCATATGGGTTAAAATTAATTACCCCGTAACTTAAAGAAGAACTCATTCATCATCCGCAACCATTTGGCTAGGGTGATGAATTAAATAACTCTAGCTTACAAATAGTGAATGTCCAAATTGAGAATATCAATAAGATTCATTTTTAAACAATAACACACTAATAAGGATCTGACATTTGTCCTCTAACTAGTGGTTTAGCCAGATGACTCCACAAAACACTTAGTTTGGCCATATGACTCTATGCAATAAACAAACATGACTGTTCTTCTAATCGATGGCTTGACCAGATGGCTCACAAATAACTTATGGCTTAGCTAGAACGGCTCCACATGATAAATAATTATGATCGCGGTCTTCTGACTTAGTGGCTTGGTCAAACAACTCCACTGTATTACGGTCATTGCTAAAAGTTCGTATGTTCCCCAATGACTAGTTACTATTGAGTAATGATATTTGTCCTCCTAGTGGTTTAGCCAGATGACTCCACAAAACATGTAGTTTGGCCAAATGACTCTATGAAGTAAACAATCATGACTGGTCTTCTAATTGGTGGCTTGACCATATGGCTCACAAATAACTTATGGCTTAGCTAGAACGGCTCCACATGATAAACAATTATGATCGCGGCCTTCTGACTTAGTGGCTTGGTCAAACAACTCCACTTTATTACGATCATTGCTAAAAGTTCGTATGTCCCCAATGACTAGTTACTATTGAGTAATGAATTATAAGGTATGATCGATAGATCATAAAGCTATTTGTTAGCTAAGGTTGACTTAAATTCCTCCCTTAGGAAAATACTCACACTAAGTTTACAAGTTCCCTTCATGCGAAGCAACTCATGGCTGTCGACAAGGATCGTTCGGTAGACTACCTCCTTTGACTAAGTAGACCAAGGATCATGATGACCAGGGACAACTGAACCATGAGATGATGATCAGATTCATCATCATTCCCTTCATCTGCTTTAAGTGATAGGTGGTGACTTTTAAATTTTAAATTCTAAATCTGCTTCTACTGTATGTTGGATACTAAGTATTTGTTTAACGACTAGCCTTAATTGAAAGTGCTCTCTCGTTATCAAGAGAGGTAATTAACTATATGGGCTTGCGCCTATATGAAACCATAACTTATATCTTAAAGTCCTCGCTAAGAGGGTGAAATCTCTGGGTGGTGTCTTATCTCTATCTAATCAGTCTTTCAAAAATTTTCCTCGGAACGATCATACGTTAAAACTCTCCCCAAATATATGCGGAGAGGCCAACGCCGCAAAAGCTCAAATTTTCGGAACCCTCAACGATTGGCTTGCTATTAGGATTTAAGATTTTTGAAAATATTGTCTCCTTGCTTAAGAGTTCATCATCTTAAAGCAGTTGGCCATAATGTAAAAAAGACCATGTAGGCCATCTGCTGAGGCCGAAGTCTTGGAATCTCTGAGCTCTGCTTAGGCTAAGTTACTCTTTAATTTCACATACTTCATGACATGTTTAAATATTGGTTTCCTTTTTCTCTGCACGGTTGATCACTTAATATCAATTTATTGCTTTCCCTTCAAGCAAGTAGCAGCGTAATACTCCATTTTCAAGGCCTCTGAGATACTTCTATATTGGTTGACTAATAATGGCTGCTGCTGCTAGAATAAGTCGATAATGAAAGCACCAATTAGTAGATTGATAACATTAATATATATCAATTCTAAGCTGAAATTGGTTATGTTAAGTTGCCTTCTATTGTGGTATTTCTGATTTCATTACCGAATGGATTAAGCGTTTCCACTTTTGGATTTTCAAGTTCCTTTTATTTGATGTTGAACAAAAGATTGGGCTGTGGGGAACTTCTATTGTAGTTTCTATCTGTAAGCGTACATCCCATGCTGCTGCTAACAACTCGTGTTAAGAGTTTCCTGCCCTTATTTATCTCGCTTATGTTTGCATTATGGCTGCTGTGCAAGTCTATATGAGATGAAGTATGTCGATTTTATGTCATTCATTTTTAAACACATCTTCAAACGAAAGGTATCACTGCCTCCCCCTTTTTTCTATTGTGGCATTGTTTTGTTGAAGTACATCTTTTAGCTAGCGTGTCTGTGTAGATAAATAACTGTTTCCCTTGAATTTTCTCTGTTACAGGTATATGTGTGCTCATGCGTTGGCCCTTAGCCATCCTGGTATCCGTTGTCGCTGTCTTGCGGCCTATGGAGATGCCGTCAGTGCAGTGAAGTGGTATTTATCTCCCATAACAGTACTATTGTAACATTTTTAATGTTTATGCATGAGCTAACATCTTGATATTTTATGCAGGGCAAGCCGGCTTGGTCGGGAGCATCATGATGACTTGGCTCAATTCATGCTTGGAATGGGCTATGCAACTGAAGCTCTTCATTTACCAGGGATATCTAAAAGGTTATAAGTGCATAGAATTATTATTTTCTTTTAAGACCATGATGATTCAAAATTTTACTCGAAAATGTGAAATTTCCCAAAATTTCAGGTTAGAGTTTGACTTGGCTATGCAAAGTAATGACTTAAAAAGAGCATTGCAATGTTTATTAACAATGAGCAATAGTAGAGATGTCGGGCAAGAAAATGCCACCACAGATATAACGGAGATTCTGAATCTGACAGCTGCTAAGCAGGAAAACCTTGTGGATGCTGTTCAAGGAATTGTTAAGTTTGCAAAGGAATTCATGGATCTCATCGATGCTGCAGATGCTACCGGACAATCAGATGTTGCCCGTGAAGCTCTCAAGAGATTAGCTGCTGCAGGATCTGTCAAGGGTGCTTTGCATGGGCAAGTATTAAGGGGCGTGGCACTGCGGCTTGCAAATCATGGAGAGCTGACAAGACTGTCGGTATGTTAATAATATTTCCTTTCATTAATTTTCCATCATTCAAGTATAAAATAATGGGATTGTCATAATTTTCATCATCATAATTGTTGTCATTATCACCAACTCCCCTCAATGAGTCTATTCCTTTGCCATCTTTTCAAAGAAATTACTTTATTTGACATATCTAGTTTAGATAAATCTTTTTAAGCACCTTTAGACATTTTTCCTTGGTCATTCTTTGATCTAACTGCCTAAAGCTTCTCAATCTTAGTTGCACTAACTTGCATCCAGCGAATCCTACCCTTGTAATTTTGCTCTCTATCCTATGTAGGATAAATACACATCCATATCAATATTCCCATTTCAGCTACCTTTTACTACTTGGTTTTGTATTGTCTTTGATCTCTGGAGGGTCTATGGTTTGAAGCCTCAAAAAAATAAATCTCATTCTAGCCATCTCATCTACTTTTTTTGGGTTTTTTTCTTGGGCAGTAAAGGATCCATTCTCCATGGCTAACATTTTGTTGGTTTTATAAATTTTTATTTTAACCATCATGTACTCTCGATATTTAACCATCCACTTTAATTTTATTATTTGTATCTTCAATTATTTCACCTGCATAAATAACTAACATATGAGACATTGACAATAATTTTTTGTTGATAATTCATTGATGTCACTTCCTCTATGGTCTCCAGCAAACTCTTTAGAGGAGTTATTCCTTACTGGTTGGGTAAATTGATGCAATATAAATTAATTAGTTTTTCACAGAAAAGATTATTTTTTCATAGGAAGATTAAAATGAGTTGAATCGGGCTATAAGGGGTTCTACTAAATCATTTTTCAACCATTTTAGAATCATATTTAATTGTGATCATTTTTTCTATTGTTTTATTTGATATATTTATCGTCAAATATCTTCTTTTCATCTTTTGAATAAAATTATATCTGAATTTGATTTTAAGATGGGATTAGATTTGATTTTGAATTTAAAGTTTTATGGCTTTTATCCTTGTAGGCCTTTTTTTTATAAATTGGGATTCATGGCTTATATTGATTATTATTTTATTAAACATGTATGAATGAAATTTGATTATAGTTTAGGCCAATCAAATTATTCACACAGATCATTTTGAGTTGTGAAAATAGTCTTCTTTGCCCCCTCTCTATTACTTCGCCCCCTATTAATTTTTATATCAAAGCAGATCTTCTGGGAATTAACTATTGATTTCCAATGGTTATTTCCAATGGCTAGGTGAGGGTTAGGGTTTGGGGTGGAGGATAAGAAAGAATAAATCTGAAATTAAATTCAGATTTTGGAATTAATTAGTGGGAGGGAATGTTGACCTCTGAACAAAAACCAAAAGAACAAAAAGGAGCCTTGCCCGATGGATCCACAAAACCGGCCGGAAATCCCGCTGAAATCCCGCCTATCTCTGCTAAATTCCGCGAATCATGTTCGAATCACGCCATATCACTGTAGCACGGCGCCGAACAGTCCGTGTTTTCTGCCCAAAACCCGTTCCAGCTAGACGTTTCTCTGGTCTTTAAAAGCCAGAGGAAGATGAGGCTTCAGCGACAGACACGACCCTCCTCTCCGACCAAATCCCGTTCGCTATCTGCATCTCCAACCCGACGCCTCCATATCTCCGATCTCCTCCAAGCCGCAGCAAACCCGAACCCCCTGCGACGCCGACCCTGCTCAACCCGACATCTTCCCGCACGCTTCTTCTGCTTCTTCGTGGCTGTGCGACTTTGCTGCCCCGACGACTTATCTTCCTGTTCGGTCGGAAGTTCCGACATTTTGATCGGGTGCAAGAACGGGAGCTGCTCACTGTGGAGATAACTTTCTACCTTGCGTGCGCCTCTTCTCCGTCTCCTCCTTGCCGTCCGACTCTGCTCCGACGACGGCGTTCCCTTCGAGTTGAATCGGAAGTTACGAACTTCGATCGGAAGCAAGAAGAAGAGCTTGCTTCTCCAGCTCCTTTGTTGTTGTTCGGCCTCGGCTCCTTCACGGCAGTCCGACTTTGGCTCCTTGAAAGACTTTCCCTACCTGTCGAATCGGAAGTTAACACATTTTGATCGGAAGCAAGCACAGGAGCTCAAAGGCTGTGAAGGTAACTTTGCTCCCTTTCATGTGCTTCTCGGCCAAATCCCTTGAATCCACCTGATTAATTTTATTATTATTATAAATGATTTAATTATAATTATAGTAATTAAATATAATTAATTACAATTATTATTTTTAATTAATCAGAATTTATCAATTAATTATTATTAGTTAATATTAATTAATTATATTTTATTAAATTAATTAATGTTAATTAAGTTATAATTAATTCTAAATTAAGTATAACTTATTATATTAATTAATTTTAATTAATTTTTTATTCATTATAATTAATTAGAAAATGATTAATTAAAAATGATTATTTAGTTAATCTTATTTAATTAGTGTTAATTATAATTAATAAAAGAAAATATGTTTGCCCTTCTCTCCCTCGATCCTCGAGCCAACACCGACAACCCTTGCGAAGGTATGAAGTCCTAAACTCAGATTCTCGAGTCGTTGTATGCGGCGGACCGGAAAGCCGCCTATACACGCCTTTATTGCGCGTGGTGGGATGGGATCCCGGTCCGACGCC